CCCCACACGGCCCCCACACGATCCCCACACAGACCCCACACGGCCCCCACACGGCCCCACACGGCCCCGGCCCCGCCTCCCTTCCAGCTTCCACCCGTTGCCTGGCAACCGGGACGCGGTGACAGCGACTGTCTTGTTGTTGCTGCGCCGCAACAGCCGCAGTTCCCCGTTCCCTCTCACCCTACCCTGTTCCCCGCGCCTGAGCTCCTTCAGGCAGCGACACTCGAGCGATTCCTCGGAGAGATTGTCTCTCCAAAAAGTCGGTCTCGCAGTTCGTTGAAAGGCAGAGACTGACCGAGGGCTCTTCACCAACTGAGCCCTTCCACAGAATTGTCTTTGAAGATCTCTCGTGTCCTTTATTGGAAGGTAAAGACGGGCTAAAGTTGTACTTTTTGTTTTTCTTTTACACATCTGTATTCTGAAAGAGAATGCCAAAGAGAAATACAGGATGTGATAACATCAGTCCCACAGTTCAGGGACATGTACAGCTGTGTGGCCAAGCAAGAAGTGACCTACTGATTGTGCTTTTTTCACTGAAGAACTACAACATTTTTTAAACATGCTAGTCTATGTATTTTTAGCGATTATGTAAAATAGTTAAAGGTGAATGAGGTTTGTTCAAGGTTCAGTGAAACGTGAACAGAACACTGGCCATAAACCAGGGGGAACCTGGACCCTGTTTAACCACGGCATGTACAAGTGCATATCAAGAGGTTTGGGTTTTAATTTAGTATAGTAATTAGCACAGTATTTGTGTTGTACATAAACTGCACTTTTTTTTTACATGTGAGACTCTATGTGTAAATATATACACATGTACTTCACAGAACAACCAGGCTGAGTAGGAATTTAAGGACTTTAACTTAGAGCCAGGTTTACAAAATGCTTACCCCATGGAAAACACAATGGTTCTTGAGCTTAGTGCATTTTTGGAAAGTAAACATTAAGAGAACTACACTGAGATTAGTTCCTCCATGTTCTCTGTCACTTTGGGTGTCGTGTCTCGTTTTTCTGAGGGATCGTGTCATTAGGAATAAGTAGAATGTTCTTGCACAGTTTGTAGTAGCCACAGTCAGTGTAGTGGTAGGGGAAAGAAAAGTTATTAGTTATGGAGTTGCCCAGCATAAGATAATACAGTGCCCAGAACACAGAGACCAACCAGCAGCAAGGGATGAACATGCAGAAATAAATCTGCAGATAAAGATACATTTTGAGAATGCTGGGGATTCTCAAAGCCCCCAGTGAGCGTGTCATGGGGGACATGCAGCAGGTGTGTCGGGAAGTCTGTGACCCTGGAGTATCTCCACCAGTGGAGAAACGGAGAGGGACCTGCATTTTGGGCAGAGGGGATAAAAGAGGCTGCAACCTTCACTGTGTCTTTGGGGCTTGTCCAGTGGACTCTCCCTTTTATTTGAATGTAAGTTTTAGTCAGCTCCTCTGTCTCTTGGCTATTTTTGAGGCTCTTAATACCTGGATTGTTTTTTGGAATAATTTGTTGCTTGTACCTTTGTGGTGTCCCTTGAACTGCAGGTGACACCGGTTCCTTGATGTTGACCAGGGGAGAAACCATTACCCCAGGAAATTAGTTCTGCCACTTGTGTGTCCCTGAGGAGAACTAGAGGCTAAATTTTAATGCCCAGCGCCTGCACCTCGCTGATTCCCACCTGTGCTTGAGGTGGTGAATAAGGCACCAACCCTGGCAGTGACACAATCAAGTGCCAGGGCAGAATTAAGGTTTATTACAAACCACTTTGGTTTAAATACAGCGCTCAAACATGTCACATGATTTCTCAACAATGACATCCAAGCACTCTACTGAGATGGGTCAAAGCCCAGAGAAATACAAGTCTCATAATTCCTTATTACATTCTTCCTGCCACATCTCCCCTCTATATATAATTTAACAAGTTGTAAAACAATACATTTTTTAAACATTCTTATCACAACCAATCTTATCTTAACCATTTATAAAAACCAGGGCCTATCATCATAAGGCCTTTATTGAGCTGTTTATAACTTTTTTGGTTTGTGCAATATTCGAGCAACCTTAAATTACCCAGGGTTTGTAGAAGTGTGAAACTTTTTATCTGAGGGTGATTTTGTGTGATTGGGTAATGGCATCATCTTCCTTTGAGAGGGAAATGTGTTGTGTTGTGGATATTGTGTTTGCTTGTCATTGCTGTGGTTGAGGTGGTGTTGTTGAATGAGTGTTTAAGATGTCTTTGCCATAAAGTGTATTTGCATTCACACACACACACATCTCGTTCATACTCTGGTGGCCAGCGTTTCATTCTCTCCTCACACGTGCATTGTTAAACCCTTTATTGTGTTTGAATCATGGACTTTGGGGTTTGTATTGGTGACTGTCTGTGTGTTTCTTTTGGTTCTGTTGTATCATTTATTGCTTCTTTGTGATTGTTCCTGTTTTGAAGAAGTGTTAATGTAGATTTACACATATAGGGACTAGATCCATATCTCTTTCCCCCCTCTTTTTGTGTTTTTATAGTATGTTTCTCAACGTGTGGTGTGTTCCTTTCACTATTGTTGGTTGTGTTTCTTCAAATCCAATTTCTTCACTCATTTTTCCTGGTGATTGCTTCTGTTGAAGGGGAGGGCTAATATAAGGCCTGATACATTTAGAAGGAATCCTTAGTAATTTAGTACTCTTTGATACCCAGGCATATATCTCCCCTCAAGTTATGAGATCTACTGGTCCTGACCATTGCCTAGATATTAAATTTTTAATCATAACTGGTGTTTAGGAAGATGAAAGTATTTTAGTTTTTTGTTAGTATTTATATCTGCTATGGTTTGCATCATCACGTTTAAGAAATTTAGAACATATGATGTTTTCTATAAGTGTTCCTGGGGGTTATATACTGATCCCCCTTCTTTTTGCCTTTGAAGCATTTTTTGTATGTTGTTGTATTATTCTATTTGGAATGTGTGTGTATGGATGTGTCTTATGTAAAAGTCAGATTTTGTGTGACTAACAAGGAATTATGTGCTGTGTATTTTTTCAGGTAAATGAGGGTTAGTAAAATCTCGAAGGAAGGAGGCTTCGAGATGTGAAAGTAACTCTGTAGCACAGCATGAATCAGTTATAAAATTCACAGGTTAATTACAAAACAATTTCAATGTCTTGCGTATATGAATAAGTTGTAAAACTTCTCTAGAGTCCCGGTCCAGGGTTTGTACCTTATTGTTCCATTGTCCTCTTTTGTTTGTCTAGATGCAGATGGTCTTAGTGTCCCATTCACTTCTTTCTTGTAGTCGTTCTTTACCTTTAAAAACAATCTTGGCAAACCTGTTGATAACAGCTCAGTCCATTTCAGATGAAAAGGGGGCAGGAACAGATGTGAGGATCAGGTGAATCTGTAGTTTCTGAAGCAATGGCAGTGAGTCACTCTGTGTTATGGTGTCTTTTGCTTTTAAGTTGAGGGCTTTAAGGATGATCTTTCCTCCTGTAGTTCTCTTTGTATTGGAGATTCCATTGTTGGCCTTGTTAATTTTTTTCTGGAACGTTTTAGAGTCCTCATTTCTTAATAATATCAGTTAGAGCAACTGTAACCAGGTTTAATTCAGTCTCTCAGGCAGTTGTGATTTACAAGCAGCTGTTTTGCACTCTTGTTGACATTATGTATGCTGTTCTGTGAGAGCCAAATGTTTGGAGAATGTCTGAATGTAACAAATATGGGGATGTCCAAGATTCTATACTTATTATTTGAATAACATTGTTATGATAATTGCATGTGTGTGGATGTATTTGAGAATCTAATAACTTCTAATAACTTTTATTTTTAATAATTCAAAAAAAGCCTCTGGGAAATTAATGAAAAAATAGGGAAAAATTTTTTAAAGGTGTAGTGGTCTGGTTTTGTGGAGATAAATGTTTTTGGTAAAAATGACACCAATTTACATAGTGAAAGGCATTTGCAAAGGCTTTTAGGCAACAAAGAGAATTTTTCTCTCTTTACACTATAAAACAGAAGGTTTCAAATCCTCTTCTTCATCTTGACTCCAGCAATTGATTGGTAATCAGCATGCAATCTATGCTGAAACAATCTGTGGGTAAATTTATTTAATTCAAATTGAGCTCTCTAGTAAACTGCTTATATTGCTCCAGTTTTTATAATATGTGTAGCAATTTTGTTTGCTGACTGATAAAAGGTTTCTCTTGCATTCTTGAGCATGGCTGGAAGAATATGAAACTGCTAAACCTAATAAAGGTTTTGTATCAGCCAGTTTTATATTCAAAAAATATGAATTAATGAATAGATTGGGCTCTAAAATGGTAAGATACTAAATTTTATTATATGTGTAAATGTTATTAAACTATTTTCTACCCTTTATTTCTATTGTTAAGCAAACAATTTACAGTACTTTTAAGAAAACTGATTTGAAAACAAAAAAAAACCCACAAATGTTACAAGTAAAATTTATATCTTCTTGAAAATGTAAAATTCAGTGGTATGAGTGGACAGTTAATAAAATTTTAGTTCACCATGTTTTGCTTTCTTTTTCCCATATTATGTAAGAAGGGAGATTCTGAGTGAGAGATGAGAGGGGCTTGTTTGTCATCTTCCTCACCAAGAAGCAAGTCACTTGTTTGTTTAGCCAAGGAGTTAGTAGGAAAGTTTTTATAGGAACAGGAATAGCAGTAGAAGATGACAAAATCTAATTCCACCCAGCTGTTAAATAGTAAATCATTGCCATTATGTTTGAGGGATAACATATTATTTCTTCCTTTGCAAAGGTAATTATGCAATAAGTGTTTTTTACCCTTTTCTTTAACCAAAGCGTAAGTTGTAAAATCTTGGTTTTCAAAAATTCGAATGTTTTCCCACTCTGAGACAGGGGTAAAAAGTATGAAAATGTCTGTTTCTTTAGGTTTGAGAGATTGATAGACCAGTGAAAGGTCTTCTGTTAATGGCAGGGCTGTGCTTTTATGGTTTTTTAGTGGTGTATGTAAAGGCATCACCTCTGTTTAAGGAGAGGTCACTGTATCACGGATTTGGGGCTGTTTGTTTCTTGGGCCACTTGTGGGTTCAGCTGCAATAAAGCTGCCTTTGGGAAAAATCTGCTGTTAATTGACTTCCTCTTTGCCTGAGGCAGCCTCTGTTCTACAGAATGAGTGATTTCAGTGGGTCCAGTGGGAACAGAGTTAATGTTTGGGCTATTGCTGGTCATGATGTTTGTGTTTTGCTTCAGGGATGCTAGTTTAAGAATATTTGTTAAATAGGTTTGGATGTTTTTTAAGGGCCATTGTGAGGTTACATCTGTTCTGCTGTTAAAAATGTTTGATATTCCTGTCTTTGCCTCCTATTCTAATTGTTTAATTTGGGCACAGGCCAATTTATGCATGTTTGTGTTTTGAATGGATTTGGAGGTGTGTATTGCTGTATGTTGTAGCCTTGTGGGGCATCTTTGGGCTTGTGTTGTATGAGGGACTTGCTTGCTTTGCTTTATCAAGGCTTTTGCAGTGACTGTGTGTAAAGGGTTATGTGTTTCTGCAGCTGAAATTGTAACTGGTTGTTTCTTTGCTACTTGTTTAGGTTTGGCTTTCCATGTCGTGTATGGCATGTTGTCTAACAGCATTTCAAAATAGAAGTAAATAGTCGATTAAGGGCCCCTCCTATTATTACTATTCTTCCCCCCATAACCTTTTATAATAGCAGATAATCTGTCAATTGATAAAGTTGTCCTTTTGTGACTTAGAAAGTTAAATATGGTGGCTGATAGCTGTGTGTCTGCTGTGTTTTGCCATGTTACCTTTAGATTGTTGGCCGTGTCAGTAGGTGGATTGTGATGTTCCAGCTGAAATTCTCGCAGTGGTGGTGGGCTGGAGCTGTGCTTTATCCTGTCCCTGCAGAGAGCTGGGACTGATTTCTGAGTTCTGCTCCTTCCCCTGAGTCTGGCAGGCAGATCCCTGCAGGCTTTATGGAAGTGGAACCGTGGGGCTATGGAAGAGCATCACACCAGGGCTAGAGGGCAGGGGAAGCCACTACCCTGGATGGGGGCGTGGAGAGTGGAAGCCCTCTGTAAACAGCAGTGTGGGCATGATGGACAGGCTTCATTTGAAGTGAAAAGAAACTGCAGTTAGAAAACTGGCACAAGTAATCCAGTTATTCTCAAGGCCAAGTAATAGATCACTGAAATCCAGATTAATGTCCCATTCCCCACTAGATGGTAATTTCCAGCTTTAAATCCTGGCTCTTGCTGCATGTCCTGGTGTCCTTAAGACAGTGTTGTGTTCTCGTGTTTCTAGTCCAAAGTAAATGTTCCCGTTTGAGTTTTGTCAGTGCTTGAGACCCACTTTCTGGAGGTTTCTTCTCTTCTTGCCCTTTCTTGCACGACACAAGCAGAGAGAGGTGGTTGTCAGGCTGGTGATTGTTTACCCATAGCTTCTTGCAGGGTAAGGATGCTGGAGAAGAAGTGCCACTAGGATAAAGTCTGACGTGGTCCTGCTCGCCCATATGTTGCATTTCTGATTGCTCACGTCCCTTTAATGGTGTCTCCTCAGTGACCTGGCAAAGTTTGATGGCAAGGTTCCCTCTGTTGCTTCCTACACAGACCATGATCAATTCACACACACGCAGGCACAGAGATGGGAACATCTGTATTTACATGTACAAAGGCACCTATCAATGAGTTCAGTGAAATAATCACATCAAATCCATTTGTGTTTCTCAACAGGCAAAAGTACTGTGTCTGGTTCTGAGACCTTCACTGCAGTAAAGATTCTCCCTCCCTGGACTTGGTCCAGGGAGGGGGAACACAGCTGCTGCAGAGTCTAGAGGTAAGTCCTGTGAGGAGTGGCTGAGGGAGTTGGGCTTGGTTGGCCTGGAGAAGAGGAGGTTGTTACGGTTCCTATACCACCAGCTATGGGCTGTCCACTCTAGCTATTAATTTTTAAGTAATATTTAAGCTACAGCTTTGTCTCTTCTAACTATTATTAATGTTCAGAATGTTAGCTCCAGGTTTCACTCTGATCCATCTTTGAATTACACAACATAGCCATAGAGTTCAAATAAAGTCCAACTTCCAGCCTGACAATTCTAGCTACTTATGCCAAACAAGCATTTAGCTGCTTTCAAATAATATCAAATTCACAGCACCACTGTATCTTTTGGGTCTGCCAGGAATGGCATTCTGGATTTTCAGCATTCCATTGTTGCTCCTTCCAGGTGAGCTGAGACACAGTCACTGGTACGACTCATCCACCCCCAACATCCTTCAGAATGGATTCTGGATTCCCGAGGAGAGAGGTGCTGGCTCGTCCTCTGAGGCCAAGAGAGGCTGAGAAGCCCGAGCGTGTAAGTACCTGCTGTGGCCAGGAGCTGTGTTAAGGCTGGAAACTCCTCCCGTGTCCCTCTTCTCCCAGCCCCTCCTGCTGTCCAGCAGCACCGTGGAGCTACAGACCCCCTCCCCAGCTCTTCGGCCGTGCTTCTGTTGGCAGGGGCTGTCATGGTGCATCAGGGACAGTCCAGAGTCTTGCCTGGCTGTGCCACTGGAGCCAAGTTAAACCAATGTGAAGCTGAACATGAGCTTGTGCTTCTGTCTGTCCCCTGTGTGTGGGCAGGAATTCCTCCTGTCGGGTTGGCACACTCCCTGTGCTGCTCTGACCACACCTGCCCTCCAGGCACCTGGGCGTGTGGTGGGTGGCTCAAATGCTGCCTGAAGCCTTGAGAGAGGTGGCTGGTCCCCCCTGGAACAGGTTCCTGACCAGTTGTTCCGTCTCATCTCCTGTGTGGAGCACAGATCCAGCCCTGCAGGCAGCAGTGGAATTGGGGCAAGTCCTCCTTCCCACCCACAAACGTCCCCTTTGCTGCCTGGAACTCACTTGAGTGGAGGTGACCCAGTGCTGAGGCTCTGTCAGGGACATCTCTCTGTGTTCTTCTGTGGATGGGACTGTGAGGCCAGACAGAGACAAAACCCGTGCTAATCACAGAGAACTCTGGGCCTATTGCTCTGCACCTCGGCCTTGGCACAACGCCGCTTTTCTGCTTCCCTCGCCCTCAGCCAGCACTGAGATCTTCACACACGGGGGGTTGTGAGCCTTGGGCAGGGATGGAGTTAGGGCAGTTTGCCACTCTCTGCAAAGGTCAC